AAAAAAAAAGACTGAAAAACCTACGAACCTACAAAAAAAAAATCGCGAACCTTCCACATGCGTAACATCATCGTCATCAAAAGCTCTTAACAGATGAAAGAGAGCCTCGCAAGCAGACACATGAGACAAGAAAGCGTTTCCTAGGCCTTGTCCTTCAGCGGCTCCTGTAACCTATACGGTTAGTGATGCTAGACTAACACCAATTATCCAGCACGATCATCCAAGTCCTGTTTACCTTTTACCAAACCAGCAATATCGGTGACATTCAGATAGGCTGGTACTTTGCTTACTGGCTGATAATGTTCACATAACCAGTCGAACCGGCTATCGCTGACAGCAACCTCAAAAAAGAAAATAACATAAATGCTGCATTCAAATTGGACTGCATTTTGAGGGCATAGCATCCTATTACTGGAAAAAGGGAAGGCAAAAGGGAAAGTGATGACTTCCTATTCACTAGCTTGTGGAATGATATCATCCAAACAATAGCAAGATCGGTGAAAGTAAGCAAATTGGCAGATATCACATCTCTTGTAATGTAGAACAAGAATAGTCTGTTTCATACTACAAAATTTATATCTCAGCGAATGCGGACGCTGCGCTAGCGCTAGCAGAACGCGAAGAGATCGATACGATTGAATGATAACAACGAAAAGATATTTAACCAAGCCAAACAAAACAACACTATGACATTCACGGTAAAAAAATGTAACTGAACTCACTCTGCTCTCGTTAGGGTCGATGGTGCAGAAAGGAAAATTTTCGGCGTGTGCCTCTGATTTTGTGAGCACGTTGAAAAACGTACTCTTACCGACATTAGGCAAACCAAGAATACCAATCTAAACGAGTTCTTTTGACCAAACCAGCCGATGAACTTGAGGAAGACTCTGAATCCGCTCGAAAAAAGCATACACGAAGATTCGTTCCCAATCGTCCTAGAAGTGGTACTCTTTCGACTTCTCCCTTCTTCTTTGGTGCCATTATTCCCAAGCTTGCAAGGTGACCGGACGGCCAGTTACCTCACTATGGAAATAGATATATTTGAAGAACATGATCGATGCATAGTCGTTATGCTGATAATTTATATTTCGTAAATCAATGATGAAATTTACTAGCAGGAAAATGCGGTAGCACGCAACTACTAACAAGTGCCTTCAATACTTGAATGTTTCATCACATTATGACATTTAGTACGCTTATGATGTCAATCTGAGTAAGCAAAAAGTGTCCTCACTCACGAGCAAAACTGAACCCATTTCTGCACATTTTCATTCAAAAAGTGAAATTTATCACTTTCATCAGACTATAAAAAAATTCAGAATCACACAGACGAAATCTTTGTGCTTAACGCAAGGGGCTTTCCATCTGAGTGGCACTGTCGACGTGGCTCAGGTCCTCGCGAGCCGCTTGCTCGGGTCTCCCACGTGGTAAGATACCTCATCCGATACCGCGAAGGCCTTAATGGATGCGGTATTGTACCATGTGAGAGACCTAAGCGAGGCAACTCCCGAGGATCTGAACCATGGCGACCGTGACATTCAGAATGAAAGCTCGTGTAGCTGTTCTCAGCAGTCTTAAACGTTGTAAGTGATTATAAGCAAAGTGAAACTCTTGCTATTGCAAATGTTAGAAAGTAGAAATGATTTTGTTGTTAGTTGGTCTTGTTCCTTCAATTCCTACTACGACATTTCATTTTAGTTCAGAGCTTTCGACAGCTTATAAGCCGATTGCATGGAGAGCAAAATCATTTGAATATCCGTGAGTGAAAGCTTTGTTAGTAAAATTCCCTCTACACTGCAGATAACCATGGTTTGACAGCACATGCATTGCTACCGAACTATAACATAAAACGTTTGCAATGAGTTTATTTTACAACAAAACAGAGAAAAATAACGATGTACAATGTAACTGTTCTCAACATTCAAGATCCACAAAACGTTATATGTTAACAGAATGAAAAAGCCAAAAATGGCTAATGCTACATACCGCCATTTGAATACAATATAGAGAAGAGGAAAACAATTCAACACGTAAGAAAATCGCCAATAACCAGACAAGCTTACTAACGCGGTTAATTGAGATCTGAGGTTTCAATAACCTGGACGAGGTGGCATCGGCATTCCGGGTGGCGGAACACCAGCACCATAACCCGGTTGCATTACGCCCATTGCCGGACCTCCTGCAAAATGACACACTCGAATT